CTCTCTCTCTCTCTCTCTCTCTCTCTCTCTCTCTTGCGCTTATCTTATCCGATTTTGCCTTAGCTTGTGGCCTTGTGGCCGTGTATATTTTCTCTTCTCTGCCACGTTTCATTATTCATTTCTATTGTACGTCTTTTTATCTGCACAATTCCAGATCAATGTAATATGCTTTCTCATTTCCACATGTCGTTACGGGTGAAATGGGAAAGTAAATGCCAAAGTTGGGTTCCTTGAGCTGGTTAGATGAGTGAATGAGTGAGTGATTGAATGAGTGAGTTAGTGAATGAGTGAATGAGGGAGTGAGTGAATGAGTGAATGAGTGAGTGAGTGAATGAATGAGTGAGTGAATGAGCGAGTGAGTGAATGAGTGAGTGAGTGAATGAGCAACCGTGCTACACTTTGACACAAAATGGAACTGGAACACGCCATGACACTGAAGCAAATCTTAGCCCAATATCTGCACTTACAAAACAGGTTATGGCTTGTTGAATGTTAAGAGCTAAGTTATGGTCCGAAAATTTTGTGAACCAATGATGTATATCTTTTCAAATAGTTTTTAAAAAACCTGGCATGCCAAGTGCAGAGAACTCAAACATGAAATTTAAAGAATTGATGTCTATCTATCTATCGGTCTGTCTGTCTGACTGTCTGCCTATCCGTCTGAACATCTATTCTTTCGTGCCTGTCCTTCACATTTCTGTCTGGCTGTGCAAGTCTGGGACACCTCCAGCATCGTCTCACCTGTGTCTCGCTTCATCGATCTGCTCGCTCACATCACATGCCTTGAGATGGAGCACCACATGATACAGCAGGGCCAGGCAGTGGTTGTGTAAGGTTGTGGTGGTTAAAATCAGGATAACATATCCGGATAACCGGTTAATTCCCAATGAAACATTATCCGAGCTCAGACTTTGAATTCTCTTTCCTAACCTGTTTGCCGAAGTGGGTGCACCCATATTTGGTTAAAGTGGTTCTAACCAGTTTGTCGAAGTGGTTCTAACTCATTTGCGAAGCGGTTCTTGGCATATTATTTGCCGAAGAGGTGCACTTATATATTTTCCGGATTTTGCTAAAGCGACTCATTGCCCAGCCCTATCGTAAGGCCAGGCGCAGTGCCAGTCCCATCCAACTGGGTCTGAAGATTGTCAGACATATTGCTATGCTGAGAGCAAAGGAGGTGAGAGGGGGGAAGAAGAGAGATGAGGATGATGAGAGGAGGAGAGAGGGGAAGAGAAGAGTGAGAGGAGGATGATGAGAGGGGGTGAGAGGGTAGGAGAAGAGAGAGGAGGTAGATGAGAGAGGAGGTGAGAGGGGAGAAGAAGAGAGAGAAGGTGAGAGGGGAGGAGAAGAGAGAGAAGGTTAGAGGGGAGGAGAAGAGAGAGAAGGACGGTGAGAGGAGGTGAGAGGGGAGAAGAGAGAGAAGGTGAGAGGGGAGAAGAAGAGAGAGAAGGACGGTGAGAGGAGGTGAGAGGGGAGGAGAAGAGATAGGCGGTGAGAGGGGATGAGAAGAGAGAGGAGGTGAGAGGGGAGGAGAAGAGAGAGGAGGTGAGAGTGGAGGAGAAGAGAGGGGAGGACGGTGAGAGGAGGTAACAGGGGAGAAGAAGGGAGAGGAGGAAGATCAGTGGAGGAGAGAGGAGGAAGATGAGATGAGGTGAGAGGGGAGGAGAAGAGAGAGGATTATGATGAGAGGAGGTGAGAGGGGAGGAGAAGAGAGAGAGAAGGAAGATGAGAGGATATGACAGGGAAGAAGAAGAGAGAAGGCGGAGATAAGAGGAGGATGGGGAAGAAAAAGAATCGCATTAGAAAAGAAATGGAGGGTACGTAATTCAGAAAAAGTATGTTCAGGGATAAAAGAGGGGAGAGGGTTTGGGGCGGAAGGGGGAGAGAAGGTGTGCATTAGGAGGTGGGGGGA